CGCAAATGCTTGTAATTTGTACTCTTGACTTTTCCTTTTTGTTCCCTTAATTTCTTTGTTTGATCTAATACTGTCCAATAATGTTTCTAGAATTGTTATAAAAAGCAGAGGTGACAGCGGGCATCCCTGCCTGACACCCTTCTTTATCTCAAATGGTTTGGTAACTTCTCCATTTATCAGTACATTTGCCTTTTGTGTGGCATAAATAGAATTTAGCATCTTTGCAAAATTACCACCAAATTTCATCAGATTAATCTGGTATTTCATGAAATCCCAATTAAGATTATCAAAGGCCTTTTGCGCATCCAGGAAAACAAGAGCCACTTGGTTTCCTGGGTGCAGTTCATAAAATTCTAATATATCTATTATCATTCTCATATTATATCTAATCTGTCTCATGGGAAGGAATCCGTTTTGTTCAGGGTGAATTTTGTCATTGAGCACTTTCTTTAACCTTTCTGCCATTACAGTCATGAAAATTTTATAGTCTGAATTTAGAAGAGATATTGGTCTATAATTATTTATTTGATTGGCATCTGCAACCTCTTTAAGAATTAATGTAATATAAGCTTCTTTCCATGATTCTGGAATTTTAGCTTCCAGTAATATCTCATTGCAGATCTCTAGCAACACATTTTCTAGTACCTCTCCTATCTCTTTATATAACTCACTTGGAAAGCCATCTGGGCCTGGGGTTTTGTTGCTTTTTTGTTTTTTAATAGCTTCTTTTAATTCATTTAAAGTAATTTCTTTATTAAGTATCTCCTTTTTGTCCTCTGGTAGCGGATGTAAAACTCCTTCTTTCAAATATTCTTCTATTTTGTTTAGATCAACTGTATCTTGCTTATATAAGTTCCCAAAGTACTCTCTTACAATTACCTTCTTTTTTTCCAAATCTGTCTCTATTACTCCATTTTTGTCCACTAATTGGTATATTGTTCTTTTTTAGTTTTCTTTTTTCACCCATCTACCAGGTTTATTTGCATGTTCAAAATAATTTTGTTTTATATACTGTAGCTTCTTGGTTAGTTCCTCCTGATCTAAAATGTTCATTTCATGCTTAGATAGTACCAGCTCATTTTTAATTTGTTCATCTCCCAGAGTTTCCATTTGTCTATTTTCCAAATCTTTTATTTTTTTTTGTTAGGGTATTTCGTTTTTCCCATCTTTTTTATTTCTATTTGCTATGTATGCTATAGATATTCCCCTTAAATATGCCTCTGTTGTATCCCAGAGGTTCTGCAATGAGGTATCCTGCTTTTTATTAAATTTAAAGAAAACAATTAATTCTTCCCTGATTTTTTGGATGTAGTCTTTTTCTTTCAATAGTTGCGAGTTAAGTGTCCATCTACTTTTCTTGTGGGTTGGGTCTTTCCAGATTATCTGCAACGGGTTGTGATCTGCCCAGGTGTTAGTTAAAATCTTTATGTCCTGAATCTCCTTCAGTAAGTCACTGTTTACCCATACCATATCTAGTCTAGATCATGATTTATGCGGATTGGAATAGAAAATGAACTGAGTCACCCCTGGGTTCACCTTCCTCCAAGCATCCACTAGTTCTAATTCTTCGGCCATCTCAAAAAAGCACTTGGGCAATATATTCCATTTTTTATATATATATTTTTGTTCACATGCATAGTCTTGATTGTTATTTGTAATTGCATTATAGTCTCCAAATATACAAACTTTTGGGTTGCCAATTTCTATCAATTTCTCATATAGGATTTTATAGAATTCATTCTGATTTTTATTGGGAGCATATATCCCCACCAATAGAATGCTTTTAAGCTTGCCACTTTTAATTGCTGGAATTGTTGTGGTAATTCCGCCATCAATGAGCTCCCAAAATCAATCTTGGGGTTATCATCTTGAGAGAGTTCCGACTCAATTTGGGTCTCCTCCCTCCAGCCTGCTTCCTTTGCTGTATTCAAAGGGCTAGGGAAAGATTTTTCTTCAGGCTGTCTGTGTAAAGTTGTTTTGCAACTCTCCCACGAGTTGGAACGTCTTGGCCTGGCTCCCAAATCCTTTCTCTCCTCTGCCATTCTAAAGGCATCCATCATGTCCTCCAAAGGGGGGCTGAAAGATTCAGCTAATGCTCCAGAGCGCCCCCCCCCCACACACAAGCCCCATCCTGCTCACCTTCAGTGTTGGCTGATTCTTGAGCTTTCTCCATCGCTGGAAAAAAAAGTCTCTGGGGTATCAGCTTAAAGCCCCGTTAGAAAAAAGTGAGTTCTGAAATAATGTCAGGGTTCCAGCCATTGTCCGGTTTAAACAGTAACTCCGACACAAAAATAAACTCGGAATACTTCATTATAACCTTCTACTGGTAACGTCTGTGAAATTTCAGAACTGAAATCATTCCCAGACCTTCCCACAAAATTCAACCTTCCCCCTCCCACTTTTCTACACCTCATTAATCACATGAACCAATTACTCTGCAGCTGCAATTTCTTAGTGCGACATACTAAATAATCTTGAACTTTCAAACTAAACTTTTTTTTCCCTTTTAGAACTATTCAATTACATCACCACCACCACCCAACATTCTTCAACTCTGTGATAGCAATAAATTCCAGAGCTGACATTTGGCTCGAGAATCATGATTTAATTAGGGTGATTGCTGGAATCTTGACATATGCTTTTTCTTTGCTGTAACATTCAGGCACCATCCCTAGTAAGAATATATCAGGTTTCAAATCTATATGTTGCTTTATCATTTTTTCCAGCCATGTGAGTACTTTTATCCAATATCTTTTAACTTCTACACATGTCCACCACATATGGTAATATGTTCCAGGTGTCTGATGGCACTTCCATCATTTAGCTGATTTGTCTTTAAACATCTTTGCCAGTTTCGTTGGTGCAAAGTGCCATCTATAAAACTTCTTATACAATCAGCCTCCATGTTGTTTCCAGTGTCTTTCTCCTAGCTTAGAACTGAATCAGATGGATTTTCCTTACAACAGTAGCTTTAGTTTAGTGTAATAGTTTTAAATTCTTTTGGCCTGTTTAGCAAGGGGTGGAAAACCAACATTGCTGTATTAGACTAATCAGCATTTAACTAAGGAGGATGTTATGTGTCAGTCTTTTTTGAAAAACACTTTTTCTTGTTAATGTCTTTTTTGTTGTGTTTTTTTCCTTTTGTTTTTTAAAAAATTATTGTTTTGTATTTTAATCTTCTTTGAATAAACTAAAATTTTCAGCAAAAAAAAAAGGAATGCTGATTTACCTCCTGCCTATCAGATACTTTGGAACTAAGGGTGCAGCACAAGGAAACACCAATTAATGACTTAATAGCCAGTCACAAACTCCTTAATTAACATCTAAAAGCCACACCCAATGGGAAGCATATAAATGTAACACATTGAACAGTCCAGTGCACATATTCTGGAGAGATAGAAATTTTCTGAGGATGGGGTCCAGCCTGAATCTGAAAGCTTGGAAGTGTTGGAAGCAAAATCCTTCTGGGTTCAGTTCCAAGTGGGGGAAAAAGACACTGGAAACATGGAGGCTGTTTGGAAGGTTTAATGGTGGACAGGATCACATGGCCTGGAGCTCCAGAGTGAAAAGGAAGGATGATCACATGCTTCAAGGTGAAGGAAGAGATCAAGAAAAAAGGGCTGATATGCTGAGAGTGCCTGGGTTTTATAACCTTTGTTGGGATTTGAATTGAAGCTTGTTTCTAATTGGTTGTCAGACTCCCATGAGGCCATGCAGGGGCAACTCTGTAGGCTGTCCTGAGTTCCAGGCTTGGTTGAGCCTTGCTGGATGATGATGCACTGAAAGGGCTTTTGAGCAATTGCTATAGCTTTACCTGGAGATCTTTGTTATATAAAGTATTCTGGCCCAGGCCTTAATGGCCCACCCATTAACAAAGGTGGGGGTGAGCTTCTACTTCTGAGGTGAGTTTCTGCTTCTGAGTTTCTACTCTTTTTAGGGAAAATATTCTGTCTTTTTAATATTTCCTAGGATATTTCAATTTTCTAGGAAAGAGGTCGGTGCTAACTTCCTACAGAAGAATAAAGCTTTGATCACAGTGACTGACCCAGACTGGAACTTGCAAAAAAGTGGAAGGACACTGGTCTGATTGCACTTAATAAATTACCTAGTTAATCGTGATTATCAAAGGAAATGGAACTTTTTATATTATTGGGAGAAATCTCCTTGGTTCGTTCCCCAACTGGGAAGCAATCACAAATGCTGAGAAGAAATAGCTTCAAAAGCAAGCTGCTAGAAAGCAGAATCATTTAATTCAGGAAGGCAAGAAGAAATAGTGACACATCTCAAGCATTCCTAGCTAACTAGCAAGATTGGGAGTTTGCCTTTTATGCTTAATTCCCCTTTGAAGCTCCTACAGCTTGATGGGTTTTGTGTTTGTTTTGTGATGTGTTTCTGATTGCCCTGAGTTTTGTTTTCCTGGGTTAATCTTGGTCCAGGGTCTTTTGTTTTTCCTGTCCTAAGGGTTAATCCTGTCAGGGAGGCAGGAAAAGGGAGTTCTGGTGTTGTGCTGATTAGACATAACTGTGAGTTATACTTTGAGGATAGCTAATAAAATCCAATAAATTAACTTTGTGTGGAAGCCTTTGTAGTGTTGAACTGCTTGTCTCATGCTGTACCAGAAGCCTGGGACGAGAAAGGTGTGCCTTAGTTTAGTGAGTTATTTTTAGCCTGATTCCACTTATCTTTATTGCTCTACTTAAGTATTCTTTTCAGCTGGTGCTTTTGCTGGGGTTTAAATTCCTTAAAGGGGAAGAGCTGTTTTAAGTCTTTTGGCACTGTTTTAGTGGTTCCTGGCACTATCCTTTGGGGGTGTACTTCCCACAATATTTTTGGATTGTTTTACTCAATTTTCTTTTCAATCTGCAGACAATACACCCGAGTATTCCCACATTTATTTATTTTTTTCTATTTAGAAACTATCAGTTTCATATGATGATTCACACAGGAACCAAATAGATTTTTTAACTTTTGCAGAGGGAAAAAACTCTCTTTCTCTGAAATTCATGTTCCAGTGATACTTTATTTTTGAACTGTATTCAAAATCCAGCACACCCTGGGGTTTTGTTGCTGTTGTTTTACTGCTGTGTTGGGTTTATAAGCTTGCCCATAAATAATGTAACATTTTGATGCTCAATAAACAATAAAAATGGTCGGTTAAAAGTAATTGTGATGGGCATTGAGAGAGGAATGAATTCTACAGCAGTGGCTCCTGCTGCCTCAGCTCCAGTTTCATTAACAGTCAACACAGCCTTATGGGTAACCTGAGAAGAAAAGAAGAAAAAAAATCAAAATTTGGAAGAAGAGAAAAATAACTCAGAAATGATGATAACTTGTTACACCGATCTGTGACTTTGCATTACTAGAATTATATTAATTTTCTCTGTCTTGTTCCAATTTTAGCCATGCACTGCTGAAGTGAGTGCTGGGTTCTCCTGAGGAAAGATTTTAAAGAGAAAATTTTAAAGAGAAAAGTAAAGTCCTACACTTAGGCAAGAAAAACCAAAAGTACACATATAGCCTGGGTGAAACCAGGCTCAATAGCAGTAACTGTGAGAGGGATCTTGGAGTCTTAGTGGACAACCAGCTAAATATGAGCCAGAAGTGTGCAGCAGCTGCCAAAAAAGCTAATGCAATCCTAAGTTGTATTAACAGAGGGATACAATAAAGATCAAGGGAAGTACTAATACCACTCTATAAAGCCTTAGTAAGACCACATCTAGAGTACTGCATCCATTTTTGTTCACCACATTATAAAAAAGATGTTGAGACTCTAGAAAAAGTACAGAGAAAAGCAACCAGGATGATTAGGGGACTGGAGGCTAAAACATACAACGAACGGTTGCAGGAACTGGGCTTGGCTGGTCTAGTAAAGAGAAGGACCAGGGGAGACATGATAGCGGTCTTCCAATATTTGAGGGGCTGCCGCAGGGAGGAAGGGGTCAAGCTATTTTCTAAAGCGCCTGTAGGCCAGACAAGGAATAATGGATGGAAACTGAACAAGGAGAGATTTAACCTGGAAACAAGGAGAAACTTTCTGACAGTGACAACAATCAACCAATGGAACAGCTTGCCCTCGGAAGTTGTGGGAGCGCCATCACTTGAGACTTTCAAGAAGATATTGGACTGCCATTTGTCAGAAATGGTGTAGGGTCTCCCGCTTGGGCGGCGGGGGATTGGACTAGATGACCTACAAGGTCCCTTCCAACTCTGATTATCTGTTATCTGTTAAATCAGTGTTTTTAAGACTTCATAACTTCTGGAAGTTGAAGTCCAGATGTCTTCAAGTCACCAAGCTTGAAAAACATTGGGTTGAACAGTTGTGAAAAGAAACAGGTAAGATATAGTGCAGCGATGGCTAACCTTTTTGGCACTTTGTGCCAAAATGGAGCGTGGGCGGGAGCATGAGCACTCCTGTGTGCTGAAAACTGAAAAAACACATGATCTTCTGGTTTCCGGTATGCCTGGTCTTCCGGTTTCTGGTGCGCATGCGCAAACCAGCTGGCTGGTGCGCATGCGCTGGTTCTGCCTGGCATTTCAGGGGTCCTCACACCTCCCTGCCTGCCTCCCTGATCCCTGTCGGGATGATCCCTACCGACGACCCGGTTCCACAGCCCTGGACAGGGAAAGAAAGTTGGGTGGGTAATGCCGCCTCCCTCTGTTGGAAAGCTGGAGCCCCTTCCTGGCCTCAAAGGGAAGGGGCATCAGTGTTCCTGGGGTTTGGGTTGTGGAGCCAGAAGGTGGGAGAGCTTTGCCCCAACTCTGGCCGGGATGAAGCACCCCTCTCCAGCCCTCCACTGAGAACAAGCCAGCAGAAACACACCCCCCCCACTTCTGCCAAGGGAGTGTGACTGCTTCCCAGTCAGTACACCTCTTACCCTGGCGTTCCTCCGGTGAGCATTTGCTGGCTGAGTGGTCAACTGCTCCATGCCTGTGAGCCATACAGGCAGGCCCTCCTCCTCCTCCTCCGTATGGAAGAGGCAGTGCAATAGCCCAAAGAGGGGCAGAGCTGAGGGCCAGGGTGGGCAGGCTGGGGCTTTCCTCCCTCTCCGCCTGAGTGGGGTTGTTGCACGGCTCCAGTCCATGGCGCATCTGTGCTCCGGATCACCTGGCCAGCTTGGGTGTCCCACAAAAGCCAGCTGCCCCTGTGCAGCCCCCCCTTCCCACCACTTTTGCCAAGGAGGCGCGACTGTTTCTGTTCCTGGCATTCCACCCATGCAGCTTAGTTCCTGTGCCACCCCAGAAGAGCTGGCCACCCCCCCCACGCAGCTCCCCTTCCCACCTGCCTCCCCCCTTCCCCCTCCCCTCAGCGGGACCTCCGCAGGCTCTCAAGACAGAGCCCTGATGGGAAGGAAGCGGTGTTGACTTGGCCGCCGTCTGGGAGGAAGCTCCTTGGCACTTGGCCCAGCTTTCCTGGAGGGGCTCTGGGGCAGCCTGGCAGGGCAAGGTGGAGGGCGGGAGCTCCAAGGAGACAAGGATGCCATCAAGGGAAAGGATGCCATCAAGTCCATACAAAGGAAGTGTCAAGGGAGCAAAAGAGAAAAGAGGGAGGGGAGAGGATCTTGGTCTCCCTCCCTCCCTTAAGCAGCTTCCAAGGCTGCCCACCCTTCTCACAGGGGGTGTGTTAGGGATAACATTGGTTACCTAACTTAGTTTGGGTAAAATAATATATAAACTATGTTAGTGAGTTTAAGTGTATGTATCACTTTAAACTGTAAACCAAGTATTTTGGGTGCGGTTGTAAAATCACCATAAGAGGGAGCAAGAGAGCTCACTGTTTCCCTGGCTTTTACTGGAATGCTGACAAACTGGATTGATGGTGATAACTGCGTGTTTGCTGAGAGAAGAAAAGGGGTTTGATTTTTCTTCATATCTCTGACTGCAAAAGAGATATATCACTGGACTGATATTGTAAGTTTAATGAACTCTTTTTCGACACTGGACTTTGCAAACTGATTAACCCCCGGACTGACTGAACTTAGTGTATGACATATGGACTGTTTTGACTATGCTATAACTCTTGCTGGAATAAAAACTATTTAACTTGCACAGTATATCTGTCTTACTGAGTGTAAGCTACTACAATGTTTTATCTCACATATCTGCCTGCCTGCTAGACTGCCGTTGCACGTTCTGCTAGGGTGTATATTCCTAACAGGGTGCCCTCCCTCCCCATCAGCCAAAGCATTCAGCCCCCCTCTGGCTCCCTCTGTTGACATCCAAAGGACTCCGCAGCCCTGGAGATCCTCCAAGTCTCCTGCCCTTTGGACTCAGCCGAGCCCTTTCTGGTGGCAGCCAGAAGGAGCTGGAGGGCCAGAAGGAGCCTGGGGGCCGGCCATTGAGCCCTTCCAAGAGCTCTGTCCTCCCAGGAGCCTCTTCCTTCCTCCCATCCAGCCTCTCTGAGAAGCTCTCCGGCTGGATCCCTTTTCTCTCCAACAGGGGCAGGGACCCCATTGGATCCTGCTGGGGCTGCTGGGCAGTGCTTGGGTCTTTTGGGAGGGTGGTTGAGGGAGCCTGGCTCAGCTACAGAAGGGACGTGTAAGGGAGCATCACAAATGCACTCCGGATTGTTTGTGGCAGTGGATCCAGGAGGAAAACTCCTATGAAGGGAGAGACAGGAGGGAGGGGGAGGGTAAGGGGCGGTCCACAGATGCCCCAAAGCAAAGGGCACTGCTGAAGGAGGCAGAATTCTGATGGGTTTGAGCACTGAATATTTGAGTATGTCAGGCTCATTCAGTTATTTGTAGCTACAAAGAAAAGGAAGGGAGGAGGGATCTTTTTCCCTCCCCATTCAAGGCAGGGGACCCAGACAGAATGCAAATTCCTCCTTCCTTGGGATCACCTGGATTTTGTCCCCAGACAGGAAATCACCCAGAAGCGATGCCTTCTCTTTATTTATTGCAGAGAATGATGTGGACGCCCACCTTATGTGCAACAGCCCCTGCTGCTGCCAGGGGTGAGGGGGCAGCGGAGGCATGGATGGGCAGGCCAGGGCTTCTCTCCCTCCCCACCAAGGGTAATTCTTGCACAGCCCCAACCCTCCAGCCCGTGGCAATGATGCACATCTATGCTTTGGAGTGCCTGGCCGGCTCGGGTACGCAGGGCAGCATTTGCTGGTTGGGTGGATGGCTGCCTCATGTCCGAGCTGGCCAGTGTGCTGGAACCCAAAAGAGCAAGGGAAGCAGAGTTGCTGGCAGGATGGCTGGGGCCATTCAAGAAGGGAGGGAAGCCCCAGCCCTCCTGTCCTCGCCCCCACTGCCCCCTTTCCTCTGGTGATGGTGGCTGTTGTGGTGCCCCTTCCAGACGGGATGCTGGAAGAGGAGCTTTTGGTGGGGAGGCAAGCTATCCGAATGGAGACACTGCTGAGGGCCTGATCACTGGTGTGCTGAGCCGGGTGGGAGGACCATCGGAGACAGAAGCGGTCGCGCCTCCTTGGCAAAAGTGGTGGGAAGGGGGGCTGGCCAACTCTTATGGGGTACCCAAGCTGGCCAGGCACTCCGGAGCACAGATGTGCATCTGTGCTGTGGGCTGGAGGGTTGGGGCTGTGCAAGAAGCACGCTTGGGTGGGTGGGAGGGAAGCCCTGGCCTGCCCATCCATGCCTCCATGCCTCCACTGCCCCTTTGCTCCCGGCAGCAGCAGTGGCTGTTGGGCTGCCGCTTCCAGGTGGAATGGTAGAGGAGAAGATTCCAGCGGGGAAGCGAGCTGCCTGAATGGAGATGCCGCTGAGGGCCTGATCGGCGGTGTGCTGAGCTGGGTGGGAGAAACGCCGGGGACAGAAACGGTTGTATCTCTTTGGCAAAAGTGGTGGGAAGGGGGGCTGTGGGGGGGGCAGGGGGCTCTTCTAGGGCACCCAAGCCGGCCAGGTGCTCTGGAGAACACGGATGCACCTTGGGCTGGAGCTGTGCAAACAACCCCACTCAGACAGAGAAGGTGGGAAGCTCCGGCCCGCCCATCCTGCCTCTCAGCTCTGATGCTCTCTGGGTCTTTTGGCATGCACACATGAACTTTGTTGGTCTTTGCACCTGCGTGCGCACCAGAAATCAGACCAAGTGGCCGACGCACATGCCCACATTGGAAACAAGTTCATCTTCCTGGAGCGTGCATGGCTACTCTTCTGGTTTTTGGTGCATATGCACACGTGAAGTCCAGCTGGCCGGTGCACCGGAACCAGGAAGAGCAACGGGCGATGGCTCTGCGTGCCCAGAGAAATGGCTCTGCGTGCCACTTCTGGCACGCCTGCCATAGATTCACCATCGTGGGTAT